GGGGGGGATTAAAATAATTCAGCAGAAGCAGGGATGTTTAGACCAGAAGGAAATCCTAGTCCCCCCTGGCAAATCACACTTTACTTAAAACCATGTTTTTAAAAACTCTAGGTTGTGGGGAACAGACCTCTCTGCCATGCGCGCGCATGGTTTGGAGCACAATATCTGTCTCGCATGCACGCTCGCTCTAGATAGATTACGGGATATTTTAACTAATTTGCGGTATAACTAGTCGATCACGAGTGGCTCAACAGGTAGATCTATAGATAAACTATATCTTTTAGGAATTTGACCGACCGGGTTGACACTTCAGCGTGAGAAATCGGGGGTGTGGCGTGAGAGCGTGAGATTTGGGTCAATTGCGTGAGAGTTGGCAGCCCTGAAAAAAAAAAAATATATATATATATATATATATATAGTATATATATATATATATATATATATATATATATAGGCTATATATAATTAATTTTTTTACATAACTGCTTTTGAAATTACGATTGGTAGCCTATTATTATACAGATGCAAAGTCGTTCTGTTGGATACTATTTTTTTTCCTTAGTGTAAAATGGAAATGCATGATAATTGTATTTTATAAATATAAGCAAAAAAAACTGTATGGTGTAACAGAGTTTTAGAGCTAGACAAATCTAAATAAATATAAAATATACAGCAGACCTTGTTTGTGCGGGATTTGAACCCGTGTCATCTTGATGATGAACCCTAAGTTCTACCGCTCGGCTATGAATTTACTCACTGAGAAATATCCAAACGTCTGTTTCTCACATGAGCGATTTTTTCATTTAGCCTGTGAGTGTAGGCCTATACTTTAGCCTTTTACAGTTTTAAAAGATTATATCTTATCTGTATGACCAACAATTACGGAGTAGGCTATAAATGTTTGTTGTAGGCTTATTTGGAAATTACCATAACTTGTAGCATTTCATCCTTAGGCTACAGACATTAGCCCCACTTACGTTTTGCTAAATGTCCCTTTGCGCCACCTGGCGGTCGTTTCGCGAACGACTTTGAAATGCGACTGGTTTATTTTGACCGCGGTGGATGGCTAAAAATGGTATGTGGATGGCTAAAAGGTGTGACTAAAAATGTGCTTTTGGCTTTCATTTATATTTTGATTGTTTGTATATATATACACACTACCGTTCAAAAGTTTGGGGTCGGTACGATTTTAAATACTTTTAAAAGAATTCTCTTCTGCTAACCATGGCTGCGCTTATTTGATTAAAAATACAACAAAAATCAGTTATAGTATTAAATATTATTCCAGTGTAAATCAGCTGTTTTCTGTGTGAATATATAGTAAAGTGTAATTTATTCCTGTGATCAAAGCTGAATTTTCAGCATCACCAGTGTCAGTGTCTTCAGTGTCAAATGATCCTTCACAAATCAGTATAATATGAGGATTTGATGCTCAAGAAACATTTATTATTATTATCAATGTTGAAACAGTTGTTGGTCTGTCAGTTGTACAGTTTTTTTTTTTTTTTTTTGGATTCTTTGATTAATAGGGTTAGGGTTAGAATCTTTTGTAACATTATAAATGTCTTTACTGTCACTTTCGATCAAATTAATTATTCCTTGATAAATAAAAGTATTGATTTCTTTCCTCCAAAAAATAAAAATTAAATTCTCACTGACCCCAAACTTTTGAACGGTAGTGTATATATATATATATATATATATATATATATATATGTGTGTGTGTGTGTGTGTGTGTGTGTGTGTATACATATTTATTTATTTATATATATATATATATATTTTCCTTGCATTCTTTCTTGTGTGACACCACTGAATGAAAGGCTCATTAGTATGCAGTCTGCTCAGGTGAGAACTGCCTAATTATTCATGAGGGGGTTGGGCCGTTCCGCCCATCCGCATATTGCCTTTGCAAACAAAAAAATGTTTTTCACAATTTAAAACAATCTATTGTTTTATGTGAATGATTAGGCAGAATGATTTTCAGATCAATTCGAAGCAAAAACTCTAGGCGACAACATCCACTAGTCAAAAGTCTTGTGGACAGATATTTAGTATGTTATTTGTGGCCTTATATTAGAAACTTTATTTTTTAGTTTTTTCAATAACCACGCATAAACAATATTCTCTCAACAATACAAACATGTATTAACATGTTGTTCACATATTATGGTAGCCCTGTGTGTGCTATATAGAGTGTAATTTAACCTGTGCCATTAATATGTTTATAAGCAACTGAAAAAAGCAGAAATGTCAGAGCATGCCAAAACATCTCAAGGACCCTGAAAACACCTCAGACCCCAGAGGGTTAAAAGAATGTTGTGGTCAATGGTATCAAATACAGCACTAAGATCAAGTAACACTAATAGAGAGATACAACCACGATCGGATGATAAGAGCAAATCATTTTTGACTCTAATGAGAGCTGTCTCGGTACTATGGTACGGTCTAAATCCTGACTGAAAATCCTTGCAGATATCATTTGTGAAGATACACAGTTGTGAAGATACTGCCTTTTCTAATATCTTTGACAGAAAAGGTAGATTCGAGATCAGCCTGTAATTGACTAATTCTATAGGATCAATTTGTTTATTTTTAACAAGTGGTTTAATCATAGTCAGCTTAAAACTTTTTGGTACATATCCTAATGACAAAGATGAATTAATGATATTCAGAAGAGGATCTTTGACCTCTGGAAGCATCTCTTTCATTAGCTTAGTTGGTATAGGGTCTAATATACATGTTGTCGATTTAGATGATTTAACGAGTTAAAAAAATTCTTCCTCTCCTACAGTAATGATTAAATACATTTTTTCCTTAGGGAGACTAAAATACACTCCCTGATGCGATGCTGTAGTAGACGGTTGCATGGTTATAATTTTTTCCCTGATATTATCAATCTTATAAGCGAAGAAGTTCATAAAGTCATTACTGCTGTGCTGCTTGGAAACTTCTGGGCTTGAGGCTTTATTTTTCATTAGTTTAGCCACTGTTTCAAATAAATACCTCAGCTTTTGTTTATTTTCTTCTAATAGGGTTGAATAATAAGCAGATCTAGCAGCTTTTAAGGCATCTATTTATGCAATTGAGCTCTCCTTCCATGAAACGTGAAATACTTCTAGTTTTGTTTTCTTCTAGTTGCGCTCCATTTGTCTGCCTGCTCTCTTAAAGGGGTGATGAACTGAGAAATCAAATTTTCCTTGAGCTTTTGGCATCTAAGAGGTCATCATATTATAAGAATATCCTGTAAGTTTCAGAACTGAAAACATCCTTGTTAGTCCAATAAAAGCTTTTATTGACACCAGGCTCAGCAAACGACTCGTTTTTCAAAGTGGGGAACTATGACGACAAAGAGGATAAAACACCACCCCCGCAAAGGAAGATCAACGTCTACTTCAACACAGCCGGTTTAGCCCCGCCCACCAATTCGCGCATTACACGCATAGATAAATAACAATTTCCCCCACGTGCACTGACGAGTGAGTTGAAACTCATTATAATATGCAAAACTGTTATCCACTCACAGCAGTGGGCATTTACTTCCAAGTCTTCAATGCGAGACTCCCATAAAAACCGAGCGTTTTTGAGCTAGGCTCAAAACTAGGGTATTACTTATTAATTTTGATGTTTTAGATTGTAAAAACCAAGCGAACGTCATAAGTTGACCTCAGACAACAATAAAAAAAAATTAAAAAGCCAGTTCATGACCCCTTTAAGGGCCTGAGTGTGCTCGTTGTACCACGACGTTGGACTATTTTCTTAAATTTTTAAGCACAACGGAGCAACTGTGTCTAAAGTACTGGAAAAGAGAGAGTTAAAACTTTCTGTCGCACTATCGAGTTCTTCTTAGCTATCTGGGATGCTTAGATGATGAAACTGATCAGGAAGATTATTAAAAGCAATCTTTAGTGGCAAAATTGATAGGTCTAACATATTTGTAACACGGAGTCAGCTTTGCAGCCTTGGCTAAATGAAGTTTACACGAGACTAGATAATGATCTGAGATGTCATCGCTCTGCTGCAGAATTTCAATGGCATTAACATTGATTTTGTGTGATAATATTAGATCTAGAGTGTGATTATGACAATGAGTAGGTCCTGACACGTGTTGTCTTACTCCAATAGAGTTAAGAATATCTTTAAGGCCAATCCCAATGCATCTTTTTCGTTATCTATAAGTATATTAAAATCACCAACAATTAGGACTTTATCTGCAGCGAGTACTAATTCTGATTGTTGATTTCTTGATAAAGTCTGTATGGTGCCCTGATGGCCTGGATACAGTAGGCAGCACAAATCTCAAACGTGATTTATCATTTGCACTATATTTCCGATTGTTACATTAAGCACCAACACTTCAAAATAATTATATTTGAAACTTGATTTCTTAGTAATTCTGAAAATATTACTATAAATTACAGCAACACCTCCCCTTTGCCTTTTAGATGAGGTTGTTTATAACAGTAATCCTGGGGGGTGGACTCATTTAAAGTAATGTAATTGTTTGGTTTTAGCTAGGTTTCTGTCGAACAGGAAGGGTTCATCGTAGACACTGGTCTGAGCTAAGCAGCCACATACGCAGCAGAGTGTGATACACTGTGTATTGTAGCCAGCCTTAGGTGCCCAACACCCTGTCGCCGGTTTGTGGTTTATCACTTCTCGGATCACTGTTGGTAAATTCTCACCACTGCTGACTGTGAGCAACCCACAACCTTTGCCATTTCAGAGATTCTCTGACCCAAATGCCTTGCCATAACAATTTGGACCGTATCAAATTCGATCAGATCTTTATTCCTGCCCATTTCTCCTGCATTCAACATGTTGATTATAAGGATTGTTATTGTTTTCTTACCATCTAATCTACCCAGACCTTAATATGTGGTCTTGTTAGAAGATGATCAACGGTATTTGCTTCACCTGTGACCGGTAATAATGTTTTGGCTCATCAGTGCTTATACAAACCAGAATTGTTTTGAGAAACACTTTTCTTCATTGTTCAGGAAATTGCAGTGTCAGCAGTCGCTACAGTCAGTCAGCTCCTGAGCGCAAGTCATGGGATGTACTCCTCTGTCGACCAAGCTGCAATAAATGAGTAACAAAACAATTCACACTTACTGCACTGACACTTACATACAGAACCATCTCAACCAAATTCGAAAGCACTTTCTTTTTGACCTGCTGTCTGACTTTTTAATTGTGTTTGTTTAGACTAACACAGACTCTACAGAAACTCTCTCTGCGTGAGAAGTCAAATCCATTGCTGGTGCAACCGAACATGGCAGTGCAGTCACTGAAGGGGCAAACTCCAATCCGACAAGTGCAATTAACCTCTTTTAAAGGCAAGTTTGAAGCTTAAATATACAACAGAACTCTCTAGAAAAAAAGGTGAATTTACGGCATGTCAAAATGACAAGATTCCGACTTGTAAAAAGTGTTCATGACCTTGTAGAACTCGACCCTGTAGAATTACAGTACCACCGGGCCACTGCAGATTCATTTTGGCATTAATAGTGTTACCATAGAGATGCATAATTACAAGTCTGTGGACATGAACAGCTTAGAGTACAACGCCACATGTTGTCATTTTGTAATTAAGAGATGGTGTGAATGCAGCAAAAGAGGAAAAGTCATGATGCAGTGTTTTTATTTATGTACACTGCTGGCCAAAAATGTGGAATATTTTAGAAATTTTAATGTTTTCATATGAAGTCTCTTATATCCGCTGCCAAGACTGCCATTTGCCCAAGGAGCCTCTGAAAATATTTCAGTTGTACCACTGTTTTGTGATTGAACAGTTTCAAGCAGTTCAAAGTTTGTGAAAGACGTCCTGTCATGGGGATCGAGTCCAACTTCACACAGAGAAAAGTGTAAGGGCTGTAAAAACCTTCTTGGCTGGAGGGACAAGCTCTATCATGTCCTTTGCTAAGAGGACAGCGATCTCCACCTGAATGACAGCAGAGTTCTCGCCTCGTACTGAAGTAGAAAGAACGCCACTGTATCTGTGCGCCTGGAGAATAGTACAGCCGAACTGGACTGTTCTGATGAGCCAGCATGACGGGCTGGAAAGCGCTAGCCAATGCGTCCAGACTCTGTACTAGCTGCACCAATGGAACGAGCGAGGGGGAGTAGGAGTTGCCATGTTGTGAGGTTTTGCATCCCTTGGCACTTGTGGTGAATGGAGTGTCAAACACCTACTTTGCTCACCGGACCCACTGTCGAGGGGACTGCGCCTCATTGATAATCTCACACTTACCTTTCTCTCTGCTTAGACCCATTGCAACAAATTGTGGGGAGCCCAAGTATTCATTTCCACCAAGGTTCTGGGGCGAGTATTTAATGTCTGGCCATCGTAAAAATAAAATAAAAAACAAGGTCCATTAACACCATGTGTGTGTGACCCAGGGAAAGAGACAATTCCTATATTTCTGACCATGTAAAGGTCCCTCCACCCTCCCATGGGGCTCACCCAAAGTCCTGTGGCCCCAAAATGTGCATTCCACGACTTTGAAATCTCGGGGTAGAACGGGACCTCAGTTGTGCATTGAGCTCCGACCTCAGGAACCAATCATCCAACCATAAGTGTTTGGAACAGAGTGGAGAAGTCCACTCAAGCCCAATGCTTGTAGGGGCCCGGGAAGTCATGGCTGCCAACTCTGCGTTAGCCACAGACTGAACTATGACACCCGAAGATGGAAGATCAGATGAGTCATTCAACTCAGAAGGCATAAGCCCACCCTCCGATGCTGTGCTTGTTAACTCATCTTCCTCATAGAGAAGAGAAAGAAATCATCTGCACCCAGAAGGAAACGGACGGAACTGCATCTTTAAAAAGAGGAAATCTGCTGTGCAGCTCTTGGAATTCACTCTATATTAAGGAAATTGCCTCTTTCAGAACACCGCTGATACACCCAGGTGAACTCCCTGCACTTATCTCTGCAAACGCTGAGAGAGACCGCTGATGTTTGCTCTGGTTCCACACGCCAATTTCATAGGTGTAAGGGGCTCCCAAGAATGACCCCTAGTATCTTTATTTCAACACAACATCAGAAAGGGTACTATCAGTGTACCTACAAGTTCACTTATGCATTAAAAAAGTGGGCCAATTTTGTCTACTCGTATATTGATATTATTATAATTATACATAAAGTAAAAATATACTTGAACTTTACTTATGTATACTGAATAAAATGTAATTATACTTTTCTTTTTTTGTAAGGGTTTGGACAGTTAGCGTGCTTCTAACAGTCATGTTTATCTTCATTTCTTCAGGGCAGAGTGATACCTTTTTACCTGACAGAATAAAACTGGATACGACACAGGCTGAGATTTCCAAAGATAACATTGACTTTCAAATGAATGTCATGTTCAGTGAAGGTCTACTTTCCCCCTTGTTGTATTTTATTATTATTTCACATGAAATTGTTGGTTGAAAGTGGTATTTTAACTATATTAACTTTGTCCCTTATTTTTGTAGATTTTGATAAAGATGTTGGGTTTGTCCTCTATGATAGTGATCAGTTCTTTCAGTCAAAAAGCTTTCAACCTTCTTTGGATACCAAAAGAAGAGTAATATCTGCTAACCTTCAAGAACATCTTGGATTGGACCACATTGAGTTTGCATTCACACCATCGGTGAGCAGCTAGTCCAACAACACAACATGCCTTGCTGTAGCTTATTAATAATGAAACTCTTGAAAAATAAAGGTTCCAAAAGGGGGTTTTGGTTCCCTTAAAGAACCTTTCAGTATATAGTCCTAAACCATTTTTTTTCTTAGTGTGACATTGACAGAGGTCGGCACAGGTATGGTGTTCATGAATTAATACATTGTTGAACTTTCAGGTTGATTCCACACTATCCCTCAACAACTTTGCATGTGTGTTTTGGAGTTACACTGAAAATGACTGGAGCCCAGAAGGCTGCTCCAAAATATTGAACTCCTCAGGTCATGTAGTATGCAGCTGTCAACCGAAAAATTTTAAAAATGCAAACTTTGCCATTCTGATGGTGAGATATATTTGTAAAAGGATGTAAATATCATTGATATTTGACTTACACTCTAAAAATTAAAGGTGGTTTTCAGAGCAATGCCAATAGAAGATACATATTTGCTTCACCAAATAACCTTTTACTGAACAATTCTTAATTCTTAAAAGAACCATTTTTTTCTTATTGTAAAGAACATTTTTAATAATCAGAAGAACCATTCTCCGCTATATACAACCTTTTGTACAATGGAAATGTTCCATGGAATGCCAATGAACCAAAGATGCCAATAAATAACTTTTATTTTTAAGAGTGTAAAGTCTATGATGCTGTGAATTAAAGTCCATTGCAACTAGAATTTTAGTGTCATTTTCTGCAGGCATTTGATATCAACTATCAGTATTCTGAAGCCTTGCATTGGATCAGCATCACCGGCTGCGCTCTGTCTGTACTGGGTCTGTCTGTCACAGCTGTGTACCAAATCATAACCAGGTAAAGGCTTATAGTTTACACTGTTAAGCATAGCCACAGCTATTTGAGAGGTGAAACTTTTTATAGCTTATATTCATACATTTTGCCGCAGGAAGTCAAGAGGAGGCAGTCCTACTCTGCTAGTTGTGAACATCTGCATCAGCATGACGGTTTTCTACCTTCTCTTCATCTTCGGCATAAACAACCCTGTCCAACATCTGAGTGTGGCAAAGTTGTCTGGTCAGAACATAGTTCCCGAGTCAGACCATCACAAGTACCCAGATGAGGGTCCCTGTACAGCATTTACAGCTCTGCTTCAGTACTTCCTGTTGGCCACGTTCACTTGGAACACTCTGTACGGCCTTAATGTGTTCCTCCTCTTCCAAAATGGAGCGTCTGGAACACCTCCATGGTTTCCAAAGGTCTCCCTGGCTATTGGATGGGGTAGGGGATATTGAACAAAACACTAATGTATTATGATTAACGTCTTGGTTTTCAGTATGGGTTAAAACTATATATGCGTAAATGTATCAACTGGTATAAATATTAACATTTTTATTGCTGAATTATTGCCAATTATGGCCTTGGCCAAATTATTTTCTGCTGCTGAATCATTAGAGCCACAGCAAAATAAATCCTTTTTTTTATGTCAAGAAAGCATTGCTTTCTGTTGAGTTTTCCTCACAAACTTTAATGAATAATTTCTCATTTAATCACCCTGGTGTTGTTCCAATGCCGTATGTCCTAAAAACAAAATGTCCTGCTCGTGCTTGTCCATACAATGGCAGTGAATAGCAACCAGCATCAAGATTTTTTTAAAATATGCAAAAGCATCAAAGAATGATCCCATGCGACTCATGCCATATGTTCCAAGTGTTCTGGGAGTATACTATAGGGTTTAAAAAAAAAACAACAACCAGAAACTTCCTGACCTTAGCCGTTGGTCTTCTGTGCACTACTGGGCAATGTGCGACTTTGAGCCTTCCCAGAGATATTTAACTCAGTTAAAAAAGCACACAGATACTTTTTTGGGGGGAATTTCTAGGCATTTCATGGTGCGTTTTTGTTAATCTTGATTTCTCACAACTTCTGTGCAAGATGGAGTGAACTGCGGCTCTAATAGAATGCACACATTGCGCAGCCGTGCAGAGAAGACTAACTGCCAAGGTCAGGATTTTCTTAAAAAAAAAAAACCCATAAAACTTTTGTTTGGTTTGTTTTATATACCCCCAGTAAACATGGAATATAAGTGTCACGGTGTGGTGTGGAATGAAGACAGGCTGAGGCAAAGGCTCCAATTCAAACTTTTACTATAATCAACTAACACAAACTGGTAAAGGCAGGTAGACAGGCAGAAGTGTAACACTCACAATACAAGGTAACATTTACAAGAACCAACAAAGACAGACTGAACAGAGAGAATTTAATACAGATACAAACGACCACTAACGAGGTGAGGACAGGTGACAGATGATAAAGACGATGAACAGGTGGATGATTGAGGGAGTGAATTCAGGTATGGAGACAAGGAGGATTTTGGGTAGTGTAGTGCAGACTAAGACAGACTGGTGCAGACGGAGACTGTGACATAACTCTCCCCTCCCGGTAGGCGTGACCTCATGCCGTGGAACAACAGGGGTGGGGGGGTGGGCGCCCTGAAGCCTGATCACAGGAGCGGGAAGCCTTCAGGGCGGAGCCGAACGTGGCCGTGGCCAGGGCGGAGCAGGACGAGGGCGTGGCCAGGGCGGAGCAGGACGTGGGCATGGCCAGGGCGGAGTAGACGAACCCTCGGGTATCCAGGGCGGAGCTGTCGGACTCTCGGGCATCCAGGGCGGAGTGGCCGGACCCTCGGGCGTCCAGGGCGGTGGTGATGGCCTTCGGGTGGCCATGGTGGTGAGGACCCCTCGGGTGACCATGGTGGTGAGGACCCTTCGGGCGGCCATGGC